CCAGATTTTCTTAATCTCCAACCCAGGCTTCTGCCCATCGAACTTTTTTGAACTCAAATGCCTACTTGACATCTCCATTGGTATATTTTACAAACATATAAAATTTATCAAACCATAAATGAACACTTGATGCCCGAACCAACCAGTTGAGAAGGTTGGAAAGTGGGTTCAGCTGAACTTAGGTAGCATCTCCAACAGTCAATATATGAATCTGGTTCATTTTTGTTGCTTGATTAAGAATGAGCCTTCATGAAGGTACTAATATGAACCATCATAATATAAATGTGCAAAAAAATATTTAAAATATTCATCAGGTGGGTAGGGTATTATATTTTGAAAGAGATCAAAGCCAACATTAGAATGTTAAATCTCTGGCAGTGAGCCAAACCTATTGGAACATGGGTGGAAACTGCTGGTAGATTATACGGCACACCCTAGCAAATCTCACCATAGCTCCTTTGACTCAGCAAACACACATTTAATGTCAGGCACTGTGGACACCTGGGGGCTACAAATGTCAATAAGATGAAAATCTATGTTTGCAAAGGGCTCATATTTTGTCTACCACAGGGTTGACGCCATCCTCTAGAAGTTCTGGAAATGTGTGGGGGATTCCTGTTGTCACAATAACTGTGTGCTGCAAGATGTCCTGAATGATCAAGAATAAGCTCATGTCCCACCCACTTTTCAAATGTCCTAGTCACAACTGATATAAGTGATCTAAGTAAAAAAAACCCACTAGATCCTAACTCCATTTTATATCTACACAAAGTGGGTTTTGTACGATTTTTATATGTACTGAATTTCGAGGAATTTAAGAACATAAAATTTGATAGAATATTGTACGTTGTTTTGTTAAAACTTTAGCCAGATTTGTTCACCATTTCAGAAAATTATAACACCAAAGCCAACACCTATCATGGTTTTGAGCCCCACTGTGACATGTGGTCTCCAGTCTCTGTTCCTCATGGTCTGTTCATGGCAATTCTACATAAAGATGCTGCCATCCCTTACTTCATTATGTCTTCTAGCGAAGCTTATTTGATTATAAATTATTTCCTTTTATTTCTCCTTTATAGTATAGTTATGCCAATATGTTGATTTTTTAAAATTATGCGTGTAGGTAAAATACATGTACTCTAACGTATATTTCAGGAGAGCAAGAGGGTTGTAACAAAGGATTTATTTTAAAAGTGCACGGAAGAAGTCTGATATGATTGAGAACTATTGCCCTACAGGGTGCAACCAACAAATACATTGATAATTTGGGCTTCTCTGCTCCATAGCAGCAACATAAGTGGCAGCCAAGCATCATTAGTCAAGGCCTTGAATAATGCAAACATAAATTTTTATAAGATTACTCTTTCTCTTCAATATATCTCCCAGTCCTCTTTTTTGTTGGGCTGCAAAGGAGAAACTCAGGCTAAAGGAAATGCTATTGGTTAATGAGATGGTAAAGAAAATAAAGCTTTTCACAGAAAGCTTTCATGAAATGGCAACATGAAGGCAGTGGGGCTGAGGGTTGCTTAGAGCAAGACCCAGCAGACAATTTAGCGCATAGGAGAGCAGGAACATTTGAGTGTGTGTATAGTGCCCCTTTGATAGACAATGCCATAGCTCTCCTTCCAGAACTAAGTGGATAAAACATCTAGCACAGAATGCTTTCTTCCCCAGCCAATGGAATTTGACAACTGTGGTGTTAGCCTAAGAAGTGAAATTAAAGACCAGATTTAAATTCGGAGTTGTGCTGAAGGTTATTAGGAGACAGAGGCCATGAAGGTTGCTAGGGACAGGGATGAGGACTGTTTTGGACTGAGTATAGGTCAGATTCTCCTAGAAACTTCAGAATGATTATTCTTTTAAAATAAACAAACAAACAAAAAGGCTAGACAAATACACACACTCAACCACTAGGGGAGGGGAAGAAAACCAAAATAAACGACGACAAAACAACAAAAAATCAGAAAGAGCATCCTGAAGGAGGACAGACGTACCAGGCAGTTGTCCTAAGAAAAAACATCTACTGCCCCCCACTCCTTCACTCCCACCCCCCACAGCAGGTTCTAGTATTGTAACATTAACTCAGAGCTTAGCTTTGAGAAGGCCAATGGATGATTCTGGCACTCCATGATGGGAAGTTTCAGCCACCAGTTAAAATCTAGGCCTAGGCCAGAACGTTCTCAGTGTATCAGGAGGCTCTGGGGAAACCACGAACGAAATGACTTGGCGATGTGACTTCCTCACCTTGCAGAGCAGGTCTCTGCTTAACTACATTACTGAGCATTCCAGAAAGCCCAGGACTATGGCATTAGTGATTACACCCCTCACTGCTTGCCTACCAGCAAATCCTCTGCTCTCACAAAAAGAGTAGAATTCCACTTTGCCACGGAATTTTACCTTCTCCCACTTCTTAGGTCCGGGACACCTTGACTTTATCTCCAATGATGAAACATTCTACTCCTCCTTCAAGGTAATAGTGGTCATCTCTCCTTCCTTTGAGCATCATCAGCACTTCGTTTACATAATTCACTTGGTTCTAGATTGTCCTACAGTTATCTGTGAGCATAATGCTAGAAGCTAGTGTTCATACAGAGCAGGATCTTTATGTGGTTATCTGGCCTGAGTGCATATCATTATCTCTATTTCATAGAAGAAAAAACTAAAACTCCAAAGAGATGTAACTTGCCCATGGTCATTTTTCAATGTGGTGGTACTTTAAGTGGTGGTTCCGGAATCTGAATTTTGGTCCAACTGATAACTACTGCTCTGCAGCATCCCTTACAAGGTCCTGGAGAGCAGGATCTTTTAGATTCCCAGTCACCCAGTACTCCCCCTTGTTACTCTCATTATACATACAATTTCTTGTCCAATATCTGCCTTCTCCATTAGGCTGTGAGGTCCATGGGGACAGGAATGGTGTCCGTCTTGTTTTCCACTCTGTCCCTAGTACCTAGTGGCATGCCTGGTACAAAGGACTAAATACCCGCAATGTTTCCAGTTTCTAGAACTGCAACTCAGTATTAGCAAAAGGGCATTTGGACTCTTTATGTCTAAGTAAAAAGTGTCTACTTCCAATTATTTATAAAATAAAATCAATCTCAGAAATTACAGAGAAGGAAAGAGAACTCTTTCCTATTTAAGTATTTACTATGTTCAAGACACATAAAGTCTTCTCTTTTGATAATGCTGTATCATCCACAATTGGTTATTTATCCACATATCTATCTCTCTATGCAGACCACATAACAAAACATTTGTCTATCTATTATTTAGGAACACTTATTATTAGGTACATACATTATTTAGTAGAAATCCTGAAATTTAAAAGTCACAGATAATATGGTTATTATTAATTAAATCTTTGACAGAATACAAAGGACAAGGAAGAATAAAGTATTCTTGTATTAATAGTAAAATTATTTATACTAGCCAAACACGAGAATGATTAAATCAATTGTGGTATATGCATACAATGGAATACCATACAGCAATGAAAATGGATGAACTATTGTACATCCAACAGTGAAGATGATCTCACAACAGAACCTTAAGTGAAAGTAGCTAGACACAGAAAAGTGCATAAAGTCCATTCATAGAAAGTCTAAATACAAGCAAAACTCATCTATGGGGTTAGAAGTCAGAATATTGATTACTCTGGCTATGGACATAGCAGTGACAGGTAGTGAGCCCAGGGAGATTCTAGGGTACTGGTAAGGTAGTATTTCTTGATCTGCGTGCTAGCTCACAAGGGTTCACTTTGAGAAACCTCACTAGGCATTTACGATTTGTGCAATTCTCTATGTGTATTATGTTTTAATAAAAGTTTACTTTTTAAAAAGTTCTTCATAGTATCCATATTGGTGGAGTTATTTTATATATTTTATGCATGTAGTGGTAGATAAGATTAGCATACTTATGTGTGGACTCCTGCCCAACCTACCTTTTCTTTAGTGACTTTGCTATTTATTTACTTATTTATGCTTGTGTATCCTGGGAACTAATTGGAACACTTCCTAGCCTTCCACTCACTATTTGTGGGCTGGGCATTGAAATTCAAGCATTTACTCCAACATGTTCAAAACACATATGTGGTTTAAATATGGGTTTTCCTATCTTTTTGTGAATGTCTGATTCATACCTCAACGTATTCCACACTCTAGTGACATAACATACAAATCTTATTAACTCAGTCAAAAACCTAGATCAAAAATAAAAAAGCTAAACTAAGTCACAGAGTCTCCTTTCTCTTCCAAATACGTTAAAAATAACTTTTAGCCTATTTAGTGCTGAACTTCAATTATTTAAATATATTTTAGAACATAATTAACATTAACCCACCAATATTTTCCACCTTATATTGAAGTTAAGAACTGGAATTACCCATTTTAATAATAAAATTTTATCAAAATGTTAAATTGCACCGTTAAGAAGTCTGTGTGTGTGTGTGTGTATGATCTTTTCTCTCGTGCCAATTATTCAAAATTTCCCATAATATTTGCTTAAGTGGGGAATGAGCCTAATGATGTATCACATCATATTCATTACATCCAAATTTTATCCTAATTTTAATAGTTTTAAGAAGACTGGCATCTCCTCCCAACTTACTCTGATTCTAAGGGACCACTTTAGTGCTAACAATAATAATAATAATATCCAAGTTAACTAAGCAAAGATGTATGAACTACATGAGGGTGTTAATAATCTGAGATGAAGACAGTAAATGAAATGAATAAAAATCATTCAAACAAAAAAGGCCTAGAGCTCCTCTCTCTTCTCCATAAACCCAGCAGGAACTTTCCAGTGTAAAGGGATACCCTAGGAGAAGCACGATTAGCTTGAAAGAGATCTCCTGTTTCAACGTGACCTCAAATCTTTCCTGGAAGAGGGAGCAAGTTGAGCTTTGCCCCCATCGACCTGCGGGGAGGTCCGGAGACCGGGAAGCGGGCAGCCTCCCCAGGCGCCCGGGGCAGCAGCGCCGGCGTCCCCGGGCTGGGACTTACCACGAGCGCACAGCACAGCAACTTGTTCATTGTGGTCCCCGGGAAACCTCAGGCGCTCGGAGGCGGCGGCGGCGGCGGGGCGAGCGCTACGGTGCGTCTCCGCAGCCCGTGCACTCATCACGTTATATATAGCGTCCCGGCAACAGGAAGTATCGGCTTGGCTTTGATCATTCATTCCCTATCTGGACCAAACTTTGCACCTTTCTTTTTTAGGAACCTTGGGCGGGAGCGGTGGGGGGTGTGAAAAGCTCGGGGGTTAACGCTCTCAACGCCAGGGCGGAAAGAATCGCCAGGAGAGGTGGAGACTGGGGGTTGGGGCGGGGATGTCTGGCCCATGGGAGGGGAAAAAAAAAAAAAGCCACTGCGCTGCGGAACAAGGCGGCTGCTGTCTGCGCGCGGCTCTGAGGTTTCCCGGCCCCTTCCCGCCAGCGGCCGGCCTCCTGGCAGCCGCGACCGGCGGTGGGAGGGCTGGGCGCGCGCTGGGCAGCCGCTGTGCCCGGCTTCTCCACCCTGAGCGTCCGATTCAGCCAAGATCCGGGCGCAGCCTGGAGTGCGTCCCAGACACTTTACACACCTCCGTCTGACCCATTCTCTGCAGGTTCTGAGAGCTCGAATAACAAGCCTTCTCATTTGTGCACTGCGTTGCCTTCGAGCACTTCTCCGGGAGTTTGCAATCATTAATCTCCAAGGTTACATAGACCCTGTGGAAGCAGGAAATTCTCTAACTTATGTCTGGTTCTAAAGCCTGTGCTTTTTCCCGTTCATTTCTTGTCTGGTAGTTACAGCCAGAGAGACTCAGCGGAGGAAAAACTTCCTGCCTAGGGCAGGAAAAACCTTGCAGGCTGTGGGAAACTTTGGCCACTGTTTTCTTCACCAAGACCATCATCATCAAAGGGCTATTGGTACCTTAGTGTCCTACATACTGAACTTCTGGAACCGCTGCACCCAAGCTGATGACAGAAGTGTGGTGCTTTAGTATAAAGGGTTCCTGCTTTCCCTAACCATTGCCACAAACTGCTTGTCTCAGACTTGGACCCGATGACTTCTAAAGTGCAGTGCCTTTCTGAGGTCGTGCATTCACCAGTTAGTTCTCAGATTGTCACCAGAACTCTCTGCTTAGAGATGCAGAACCAGCTTCTCTATCAGGGCCAAGTGTTCAGTTACAGTTTCTTGAAAAGGGCAAGTTCTGCTCGTCACCGGAGTTCAAGGATGGAGGTGAAGAATCAGGAAAGGGGCGCCCTAGGAGGCAAGTATTGCCAACAGGGATCAGAGCATCTGCCCCTTCAAATGGACATGGTTCCACCAGGGGCTCAAAGTGGATTTATAGACCACATAGAAAATATTTAGAGGAAAATAATGTCAGCTCTTCTTCTCTGACTGTGAATTATAGAAGACAGACGGTCTTATTTAGCTGTCTTCCAGTACCGGAACATAACGATGATTTGCTGATCATAAGGAACAGCACGATGATTTCTTAAGTGAACTAGTGAATAAATGAAGGTCAGTGAGTGAGGACGAAGTTGTAGGACACCAGACCTGCCCCTCAACTTTTGAACTTCAGTTTCGACATCTACAGCGTGAGCTGCTAACACAGACTTACCGAGGGACTCAAGTAAATTCAAATGTTAACAGTAAAGCACTATATAAATGGCAGCGTTATTGCTTTTTTTAGGGTACTGTTTGTCTAGGATATTATTTGAAGGTATTTTTCTTGAAATATAATATAATACCAATATGCAGGAGTCAAATCTTAGAAAACTGACCAAGGATTGAGTCCTGACAGTGTTAACCCTGGGAAATTTTCATGTCTTGCTAAGCCTCAGTTTCCCCATCTGTAAGATGTATTGATATCTGTACTGATATTACAGAAATGTGGAAGGCAGCAAATAAAAGCGTTTTTAAAAGCATTATGTAAGTGAGGTTGATCACTATTTGTGAACATTAAATAAAGTAATGTATGTAAGATAACTTAGCACAGTGCTTCGCCCACAGGAAATATTTATTAAACTATAGCCATGATTGTTTGAGGGGAGTACCTAAGATACTGGTCTTCAAGGCCAGACACCTAGATTGGAACCCCAGATCTACCACATCCTAGCTCTGTGACCTCAGGCAAGTTTTACCTGACTTATTTGTGTTCTGTATAATAAGGATAATAATTGTACCTACCTCAGAGGATTATAAAGGTTATTATAAGGGTTAAATTGGATAAAACATGTAAAGCACTCAGAATAGTGCCTAGCACACAGTAAGTGCTCATTAAATGCTAGCTGTTATTATTCTCATCTGAGCTTCTCACAGGGACATTTATATAAGCACAGGTGAGTCAGGATTATAAGCTCCTGAGGGCAGGAATCATATATTTTCCTATGGTTTTCCCTGATGCTTTTTGCTCAGCATCTGGCTTCCTGTAACTATTCGAAAAATAATAATAGTAGTGGTGGTGGTGGTTGGGGTGTGTGTGTGTGTGTAGAGGGGTGAATTAGCTGTAATCTTGAGAAAAGTTGGGGCACCATTTATCTAGAGTCACAAAATAGACTGTGTATTGACTGTGGATCTTGGGCCCTGACTGTGGGCCGTTTATTAATCACCCTCTGACAGGAAATAGACAGACACAGTGAGTTATCGGTCATTTCATTTGTTATATTCCTGGAGCAATCTGGCGGATCCCCCGGGTCTTCCCATGTGACCACTGCTGTGGGCAGTGGGCCCTGAACACTCTGCAGCCAGAGTTCATCTGAAGCTTGAATTGGAATGGACCCAGGGGTTCAGGACTGAATCCAAGGGGGGCCATTTGAACACTAACTTGGCAGACTACATTCATCTTCCTGTGACAGATCCTTCATTGGTAGAGGCCATCAGTGCCATTAAATGGAGTGTCTGGTAAATTTAACCTTATGTTTCTGGGCAGCAGATACGTGTGATGCTGACTTTCTAGGTGACACTTCATCAGATAACCCTCATGTTCTCTTCCCTGAACCCTTTTGAATTGGGCCCCATGTTGAACACATTTTCACTGCCCGTATTTCTAATTATCTCTGCCCCCATTTCAGCCACTCCTAAAGCTTAGAGAAGTTGTACCTGAATATTGGGAATTCCCACGAGGAAAACACTTTATCTCTTTAGCACAGCGGCAAAGCCCCTGATACAGAAGACCATTTATAATCACCATCATAATGGAAATGCCTGAAACTCAGGACGGGAATTGATTTAGGTCATTTGGGAGACAAGGCATGCAGTGGGCTCTGAAGTGACTGATCAAGTGTCTAGAATATCTTACACCTCAGCTCCCTCACCTGAAAATCGGAAATACTAGTTCTCAGGTTATGTATATGAAAGGTTATTAACGTGAAGAACAAGAATATATTCCTTGTTATTTCATTGTTATTGAATAAATCTTTCTCTTATTTCATAGGAGAAGGAAAAGAGGAGAAATATCATGCAGCTAGCCTATTGATTTCCTTTTTTTTTTTTTTTTTTTTTAAACTACTAAAAGGTAATTTTAATGTAATTCCAATTTTATTTTATCAATGTTTGCCAATTTCTCCATTAACAAACACAATTTCAACTGCATTAATATTCTAGAAAAAAGCTATTTGAGTTTTAAGGTGTTGTAGACTACGTACAGAAATAGATGTGTACTTTCTTTAAAAAAGCAATGTACAGAAAGGCAAGGTTATACAGCCGAAGCACTTTCTGATTCAGTCACCAATTGCTTAAGGATCTGCTTGAAAGTGTCGACCAGGGTCAGTACGTACTAGTTTTGGTTCCCCACTCAATGGTAGTGTGACTCCAGCATTGTCACTCAGCCACTAAAATAGGTCTTTCATCTGAAAACTGGCATTAATCAAATAATCACACAAATATGTAAATATAAACAGGACTATGTGCTACATGGAAAAAAATGTTACAGTAGGAGCACGTGACCCAGTGTGATTTTAAACCAGACCTCTGTAAAATGAGTGTGTTAACTAGTGGTGAGAAGGTAGTGTAGGAGGGAGAGCCCTTGGGCAGAGAGGACAGTGTGTCAGTAGACCTTGAGATGGAAGGAAGCAAGGTATGATTTCAAGGAACTAAAAGAAGCCCAGTGTGGGTGGTGCATAGACAGCCAAGCCATTGCATAGACTGGAAGAGGCTGGAGAGGTGAGTGGGCAGCGGTCAGGCTGCAAAGTGTAATTGATTCTAGTCTTTCTCCAAAGGACCGTAGGAAGCACTGGAGGGTGTTAAGCACGAGAGTGACAGATCATTATAGCTTCTGTGGGGTGGAAATTCTCTAAACTTCACCCTGCCGACCCAATCAGGGTCCTAGGTCCAAGCACAGACATGCAAGAGAAAGCCCTGTTAAACTAAAAATCACAACATGAATGCAAACGTATTTTTATTAGGTTAACCAGGTTTAAACTTTGTTGTCAATGCCTACATAGGGTAAAAATTCAAATAGTATTAACACATTTATAATGGAGGGTAAATCTCCATTTCACTTGAGACCTCCACTGCCCCTTCACAAAACTACTATTGCTAATGATTCTTGTATGCTCTTTCAGAAAGAGTTTGTCATACACAAACACATGTTTATACGTAGACATCCTGTTGTTTCGTGCAAAAAGGAGCATGCGCTATAGTGTTCCAAAGGTTGCTTTTGCCACTTAACATTGGTTCTATTTCGTACCAGCATTGTGTCTGAGGTCTTCAGAAGAGAGAACTTAATACATGGAATTGGTTACACCAGTTATAGAATCGCTGAGAATCAAACAGAGAAAGGTGAGGCAACCAAGAGATGAGCAGCAGCATAAAGCTATTACCTCCGCTAACCTACAGGGTGAAAAGGAAGAGTCAGGGGCCTGGCTCACCAGGAGGAAGCTGAAACCACAGCGGCTCTCTGTCCAGTGGGATCTGAGCTCCTAGGAGACAGAGTTGCTATCAGAAAGACTGCCTTTCAAATCTTCTGCCAGAGCTTTCCATGGGCCAAACACAGAGAGGCGCCAGCAGACATGGGAACCTGGGAGTGCAGTGTCTGTTGGTGGTCTCTCTTATGATACTGAGAAGAACAGGGGGAGCTATGGATGGTCTGTGAGGGCAAATGGGCCAAGGACTGGCACAAACATATATAGAAATGCATCATTCTTTTTCACTATAGCATGATATTCTAGTGTATAAATATAGCATCATTTAACCAGTACTCTACTAATGGACAATTCGACTGCTGCCAGTATTTTTTCTACTACAAACAATGTGGCAATGAGCACCCTTGTGCATACATCTTTGCACACTTAGGTGACTGGACTCTTTTAGGGCGAATTCTTTGAAATGTAATTGCTGGGACAAATGTTTATGCATTTTACATTTTGATAGGTATTGCCAGTTGTCTCCCAGATATATTTACTATTCTTAATATTCATCTTACCACTT